TCTCTGACCGTTTATGAGATATGAACTATTTTTACCTCTGTGGAAAAATCTAAGAAATGATATAGAGAACANCAAATTTTTCTTCTGAATCGTTCTCCATATATTCCTAACGAACGCTCGTCGTGAAAGACCCTGTATACTGTGAAAATCTCAAACAATAAAAGTAATTCGAAATTATACGATAATAAACAGAGAAAGAATGCCTGATTACTTTTTGAAAGCAGTAATAAAATAAAAAAAAAGGATGACCCCGACGTGATTTGAACACGCAACCTTCTGATCTGGAGTCAGACGCGCTACCGTTGCGCCACGGAGTCTTGTGATTCGATTCTACTATAGATTGGGTCCAACGAATTGATTGGGGCAAATTAAATTTATCGGGTGCGGAGGACTATAAAATGTGTTCAAACGATGCGTATTTATTCGATAAGCGATATTACTAGGTGCGTAACGTCCCCACTATTCTCACTCCAAATTTTTCATTTCTGCCAAAAGTGAATTTGAACTAGTTTCAAACGTGATCTTTCTGGCGCCGGTTTTTTTCAAACTGATACATACTATACACTGTTTCTGAGTGATATGTCCGCTATTTCTCCTATTTTTGATTCAGTCAAAGTACAAAGGTAGAGTGGTAGCCTGGTGTGTTGACGTGGGTGGTCAGTTCTATTCAGCCAATCGACCGCTGTGCGAACCGGTGTTCAGCCAATCGATCGATTTTCACTCCCTATCGTCCAACCCGTGTTAGGAATCACACGTTTGAAGGTAAGACCTCGTTAGTCCTTAGCTCGCACAAGTTTCGACTTTTGAGAGTTGTCGTTCGTAGAGGGGCGCCAGCTGGTTAACTGAAAAGTAGATTTTAAACACACGTTATCATCTTTCAATAGTTATGTTCCGGACTAGGATGTCACGCAGGTAGCTAAAGCTGGCTGGTGGTGACTTTAGTGATATCTCTAACCCAAAGTGACCTGATCGAAACCACCAAGTGAGGCTGGCCTCTGTTGATGGCACCGTGCATTTGTCTTGTTTCTGCAACCAAATGTTGCCTTATGTTGCTCTTGGCTATGCCGTACTGATGACAACTAATGAGCCGAAAGCGTCTGCGGTTTGCATTTTTTCAGAGTGCTTCTTCCACGAATTTTCGCAACTTTTGACACAACTAACCCAGCTTATGCTGGATCAGTTGATGTCATGTGAGTGGCAAGGGGTAAGGGTGTTTTTCACCTGAACTTGGGCATGTCATATGCACCTTTCCGGAATATGTTTATCATTCAGACGGTTTAGTTAGGGAAGCTATAGATTATGCTGTAGACTACCCCTCCCGATTTGAAGGCCTCGACACTCTGTCGAATGAGATCCTCATGTCCCCCGTTAACGGACCAATATCTTTTTCATCCATCCCACCCCAGCCAGGTAGGGGTACCCCGTGAACGGCGGTAGTGATGTCTGAGGACTTCATACCGCCAACATACCCTCATTCATGACTGAGGGTATGTTGGCCATTTGTCCTTCTTCGACAAAAATCAGCTAAAAGGGTAAGGGAGCTGGGCTCCATCCTGATTGAAATGAAGACGCTTGGTCGGTACTCAGACGGTTCACTTCATCTGAAATGACCTTCCCGGTACTGACCAAATGAAATTTTTTTATGATTCTTCGTTGCTAGAAGATATCACATGATTTGTATAGTTATAAATAAATAATGTTTCCTTCAAAATTAGAGTTGGGTATTCATTCATCAAAATACTTGAATAGATTTCATTGATATAGAAAGCATTGACTATTGAAATTAAAAGCATTGAAATTAAAGTTTCACGTTCACTGCCAATGATAACTTTGATACTACTTTTATCAGAGTGAAGCACGTAACAAGCAACTATCTGGCAACATTAGAATGTAATATGAAATGTTTTAATTGAGAATAGAAATATATTTTGTATATACCTTAAAAAAGATTTTCGTAATGATAGTAGTATACTATTAACATTGAAATGAATGAAAAGCCTTTGAAGTGAAAAAATGACTTATTTTTTGAAATTTTTTTCAACATTGAAGTTACGGAAGCTTTCATCATATTACAAAAAAAGGTATAAACATTTTTCTTTGGAAGTCTCGTTCAAAAAATTCAAGTGATAGCACTGTTTATGTGCTGATGCTTCATCTCTGTACATATATTTTAGCCAATTGTTTTTTAATTTTCGCATGTTGGTTACATGAAACTTTAGTCACCTTACAATTTTTTTCTATAACTTGAAAATACCTATTCAACTTCATGGAGTGAATCAAAAATTCAGCCATCCCCTTCGGTTGCATTCATGCAAGATGAAAAAAATTTTGTCTTTATTTTCGTCTGATATTTTAGCTCCTTCCATGTTTGGTGGTTTCGTTGGATCAGGACGATCCAAACCACCTTCCAGACCCATTACGATGAAAGTAGACATGAAAAGCGTTAGACCTAAAATCCTATCAGCGCACGCGGACATTTCTTCCAGAAACAGCTTTTGCGAAAATGGGGAAGTATCGCAGTGACAGCTACTGAGAGTTTCGACAAATACCTGGTGATAGTATTCGATTAAGAAGTCCAAATTTTCTTCGAGTACGTCCCTTCGCACGCTGGTGAAGAGAAAGAAGAACAAATCAATCACAACAGAGTCGTAGGTGTATAACTGAAAGTCGACAAACTTGCAGGCAACTGTTTCGTTGTTTTCTTTTCTGAGCATAATGTTGTTCACCCACAAATCGTTGTGGATCAACGTGGAATAGGGTTCTCTGAAGGTTGTTGGTCGCTTGCCCCAAAGCGAAAGGGATTTTTCCACTTGGGGTGCAAACCGGCAGTAGTCTTCTGAATCTCTTATCACTTCCAATAGAAAGGAATTCATGTCCGGAGAGGACATCGGTGGACGTTCTGGCTGGAAAGCAGCCATGTGGGGTTTTACATAACTATCGAAGCTTTGGGGGCGCTTCAGCTTAAGAGCTAATGGAACAGCGTGGAATTTTGCGACGTCCCTCAGTAGAAGTTTGCTGGTAGGCAGGTCGAAACCGGTTTTTCGATTTTCCGTGAAATAACCTGAAGACAGAAAGAAAATAATTTGTAGCTTGACGGATTTGGAACTGGTTTTCTGCAACTGTGAAAGAAAATAACTAACTATAATTCGAGTTCAAAACTGAATCTACAATTAATTTTGGCACCTTTATAGATATATTATTCGGTAGTTCATAACCTATCAAACTTACCAATGAATACATCCCATAATGTAGAAGTACTAATATAACTGATTTGAAAAAAATATCTGAGATTCGAAGTATTAAAATTTCCCTTCAAATTATTCTTAGATATTAATACCATTCATTGATAAAAAGAAAATAAAAATATTTTTTGAAATGATTGTGGCGTCAAATTATATGAATGAAGAACATTATGAATTTCAGTGAATTATAAGAATATCAATTGAAATTATGTCAACAATTGAATTTCTTTAAAAAACATCTGAATCGTTTGAGAGGAGGCCAAACACACGTATAAGATTATTCCAGATTTTGTTGAAATCCGACAGTGAATTCTTTTTACTAATTTTATAACCATGTAAAATATTTTTTCATGCCTTTTAACCAATTGATGAGGTGATTTCCTTTGATTTTTACCGATTTCTAATCTTTTGGCCTTTTGATAATGTTATTTAAATAAAAGAATTGCACGTTTGAAGGCTTGTGCCACTATATCAACCGAGAAGTACTAAATTACTTCAGTTTCAATTCTATTTATTAATATTCAAACCAACCTTTGATTTTCAAATTCTCCAGAATGAGAACAGCATTTCCGTCTACTTTGGTATCTTTATCCTCTAAATTACACCTTGAGCCATAATATTTCGGAAACAAATCGATCACATCTTGAACTCCTTGTTCTTTTTGGAATTGTTGTAAACATGGTACAATTTTTTCGTAAAAGTTCCTCTCGTTTTTGAAAGTCCACTGGATGTTGAATATCTCCTGATAGAATTCGAATTCGGGTATAAGTTTTGCTATTACACTCAAGTTTTCTGAATTCCCAGTCTTGTCATTCAAAACTAAATCAATTTTTAGTATTTCACTACCAAAGTTATCCCCGGGAGCTGTGAGTCTGGTGATTTTCGTACCTACAATTTTTTTATTCTGATCGATATGGTTGATCAGTAGTTCTTCTAGGTTTAATATCGTCGGTATCGACATTGTCACGACCGTTGTGTATCTATTACTGAAATTTAAAAAAATATCAATGTGAAGGTCAACTCCGGAGATAAGAGTGTTTATCTAATAAATTATAATTTGGTACACAACTCGTATTATCAACCATTGAATTATGGAAGTAATCTTAACTTATTCTTCTTGATCGCAGGGACATGTAATAAATTGAAAAAGTTTGGTTCAAACAACTGCTTATTTCCACATTACCGCAACATTCATGTGATTTTTTTGTATTTTCTTCTGCTAATGAATTTTATTATTCAGCTGTTGTAGACTACAAGCCCGCGCAAAATTTGTGGGAAGGTATTTGATACCTCTTAAAAATACGTAATGTTTTTAGTACCGAAATAACAAATGTCATCAGTTGAAAGTGGTGCGTGTGAAAATTTTGAAAAAGAGAAAGCACAATTAAGGGGGAACTGCGAGTAAATCAAAAAATTTCTACGGCGTTCATAAATTTAGATAATACTGACAACAGGGACCAAATGATATACATAAAAGTGGGACAGCAAAATAGAAAAAAAAAGTATTTTCAGAAAAGTGGCCTCTGTATGCGAAGGTCATGAATTCCTGTTTGGCTTTCATAAAATTCGTGGTCAGCTGCGCAATAGTGTCAGATTGGCCGAAGAAAAATAACCCTCTGAAGAGATTCCCTGTTTTTGTAGCTCAGTTTGCATCGAAACCACCAGACGCGGTGTCGACACCAGAATACAGGAGCGCGGACGTGGTGGCTATCTCGCGCGATCGTAGAGGCCCTTAGTTGCAGAACATGTCCTAAATATCATCAAAATACTTGAATAGATTTCATTGATATAGAAAGCATTGACTATTGAAATTAAAAGCATTGAAATTAAAGTTTCACGTTCACTGCCAATGATAACTTTGATACTACTTTTATCAGAGTGAAGCACGTAACAAGCAACTATCTGGCAACATTAGAATGTAATATGAAATGTTTTAATTGAGAATAGAAATATATTTTGTATATACCTTAAAAAAGATTTTCGTAATGATAATAGTATACTATTAACATTGAAATGAATGAAAAGCCTTTGAAGTGAAAAAATGACTTATTTTTTGAAATTTTTTTCAACATTGAAGTTACGGAAGCTTTCATCATATTACATAAAAAGGTAGACACATTTTTCTTTGGAAGTCTCGTTCAAAAAATTCAAGTGATAGCACTGTTTATGTGCTGATGCTTCATCTCTGTACATATATTTTAGCCAATTGTTTTTTAATTTTCGCATGTTGGTTACATGAAACTTTAGTCACCTTACAATTTTTTTCTATAACTTGAAAATACCTATTCAACTTCATGGAGTGAATCAAAAATTCAGCCATCCCCTTCGGTTGCATTCATACAAGATGAAAAAAATTTTGTCTTTGTTTTCGTCTGATATTTTAGCTCCTTCCATGTTTGGTGGTTTCGTTGGATCAGGACGATCCAAACCACCTTCCAGACCCATTACGATGAAAGTAGACATGAAAAGCGTTAGACCTAAAATCCTATCAGCGCACGCGGACATTTCTTCCAGAAACAGCTTTTGCGAAAATGGGGAAGTATCGCAGTGACAGCTACTGAGAGTTTCGACAAATACCTGGTGATAGTATTCGATTAAGAAGTCCAAATTTTCTTCGAGTACGTCCCTTCGCACGCTGGTGAAGAGAAAGAAGAACAAATCAATCACAACAGAGTCGTAGGTGTATAACTGAAAATCGACAAACTTGCAGGCAACTGTTTCGTTGTTTTCTTTTCTGAGCATAATGTTGTTCACCCACAAATCGTTGTGGATCAACGTGGAATAGGGTTCTCTGAAGGTTGTTGGTCGCTTGCCCCAAAGCGAAAGGGATTTTTCCACTTGGGGTGCAAACCGGCAGTAGTCTTCTGAATCTCTTATAACTTCCAATAGAAAGGAATTCATGTCCGGAGAGGACATCGGTGGACGTTCTGGCTGGAAAGCAGCCATGTGGGGTTTTACATAACTATCGAAGCTTTGGGGGCGCTTCAGCTTAAGAGCTAATGGAACAGCGTGGAATTTTGCGACGTCCCTCAGTAGAAGTTTGCTGGTAGGCAGGTCGAAACCGGTTTTTCGATTTTCCGTGTAATAACCTAAAGACAGAAAGAAAATAAATTGTAGCTTGACGGATTTGGAACTGGTTTTCTACAACTGTGAAAGAAAATAACTAACTATAATTCGAGTTCAAAACTGAATCTACAATTAATTTTGGCACCTTTATAGATATATTATTCGGTAGTTCATATCCTATCAAACTTCTCAATGAATACATCCCATAATGTAGAAGTACTAATATAACTGATTTGAAAAAAATATCTGAGATTCGAAGTATTAAAATTTCCCTTCAAATTATTCTTAGATATTAATACCATTCATTGATAAAAAGAAAATAAAAATATTTTTTGAAATGATTGTGGCGTCAAATTATATGAATGAAGAACATTATGAATTTCAGTGAATTATAAGAATATCAATTGAAATTATGTCAACAATTGAATTTCTTTGAAAAACATCTGAATCCGACAGTGAATTCTTTTTACTAATTTTATAACCATTTAGAATATTTTTTCGTGACTTTTAACCAATTGATGAGGGGATTTCCTTTGATTTTTACAGATTTCTAATCTTTTGGTCTTTTGATAATGTTATTTAAATAAAAGAATTGCACGTTTGAAGGCTTGTGCCACTATATCAACCGAGAAGTACTAAATTACTTCAGTTTCAATTCTATTTATTAATATTCAAACCAACCTTTGATTTTCAAATTCTCCAGAATGAGAACAGCATTTCCGTCTACTTTGGTATCTTTATCCTCTAAATTACACCTTGAGCCATAATATTTCGGAAACAAATCGATCACATCTTGAACTCCTTGTTCTTTTTGAAATTGTTGTAAACATGGTATAATTTTTTCGTAAAAGTTCCTCTCGTTTTTGAAAGTCCACTGGATGTTGAATATCTCCTGATAGAATTCGAATTCGGGTATAAGTTTTGCTATTACACTCAAGTTTTCTGAATTCCCAGTCTTGTCATTCAAAACTAAATCAATTTTTAGTATTTCACTACCAAAGTTATCCCCGGGAGCTGTGAGTCTGGTGATTTTCGTACCTACAATTTTTTTATTCTGATCGATATGGTTGATCAGTAGTTCTTCTAGGTTTAATATCGTCGGTATCGACATTGTCACGACCGTTGTGTATCTATTACTGAAATTTAAAAAAATATCAATGTGAAGGTCAACTCCGGAGATAAGAGTGTTTATCTAATAAATTATAATTTGGTACACAACTCGTATTATCAACCATTGAATTATGGAAGTAATCTTAACTTATTCTTCTTGATCGCAGGGACATGTAATAAATTGAAAAAGTTTGGTTCAAACAACTGCTTATTTCCACATTACCGCAACATTCATGTGATTTTTTTGTATTTTCTTCTGCTAATGAATTTTATTATTCAGCTGTTGTAGACTACAAGCCCGCGCAAAATTTGTGGGAAGGTATTTGATACCTCTTAAAAATACGTAATGTTTTTAGTACCGAAATAACAAATGTCATCAGTTGAAAGTGGTGCGTGTGAAAATTTTAAAAAAGAGAAAGCACAATTAAGGGGGAACTGCGAGTAAATCAAAAAATTTCTACGGCGTTCATAAATTTAGATAATACTGACAACAGGGACCAAATGATATACATAAAAGTGGGACAGCAAAATAGAAAAAAAAAGTATTTTCAGAAAAGTGGCCTCTGTATGCGAAGGTCATGAATTTCTGTTTGGCTTTCATAAAATTCGTGGTCAGCTGCGCAATAGTGTCAGATTGGCCGAAGAAAAATAACCCTCTGAAGAGATTCCCTGTTTTTGTAGCTCAGTTTGCATCGAAACCACCAGACGCGGTGTCGACACCAGAATACAGGAGCGCGGACGTGGTGGTTATCTCGCGCGATCGTAGAGGCCCTTAGTTGCAGACCATGTCCTGATTCACAGTATATAAGTAAACACCAGTAAGTTCACTCTCCGCCATATTTGGGTCAAGATTCCCCACCTCGAATTTTATGCGCGGCCGAACTACCTCGCAACCGACTGAATCTGAGGCGTTTACCAAGCGAGCCAAATTGAGGCATGGAATATTATTACAGAGTGAGTCGTTGTAAGTGGTGATTTTGTATTTGTGAAAAATTTGTGTCTAGTTTCAAAATGAGCAAGTGTCAAGCAAGTGTAATTTGCAGGGTGCTGTCGGCATTCATTTTTTTTCCATTTCCAATTGACGAAAAAAGGTATGTTTTTCCATTATTTATACATTCGAACTGGAAACAGCCTGTTGCATACTTTTTTACCAATTCATCCACATCAACACTGGATATAAAAAGTTTTGAAGTGATTGAAGCTGTTAGGCAAATTATCAAAAATTTAATTGAGAGTTAGGGGTATCATTTCAGATTTAGGTTCTAATTTTTATAAACTTGCCAGAAAAGATCTCTGTAGAGCAGCCATATTTCTTTGTTGATGAGAAAAAAATATTTTTCATCTGCTGAAATGTGGCAGAAACCATTTTTTCGATGACTTTTTGAAATTTGATGAATATACAACGAACAAAAGTCATCGTGACATCTTGAACGACTTTACAACTTGGATAAGGAAAAGCAATATGGACTAGCACCCAAACTTACTGATTCTCATTTATTTCCAACTAACTTTCAAAGGATGAAGGTTAAATCAGCCAGTCAAGTTTTCAGTCATTCGGTAGCTACAGCGATGAATACCATGCCAGTTTCAATCAGATACCATCAGCAGCAATAGGAACGGTTACATTCATTGAAAAAATGGATGAAATGTTGGATATTTTGAATTCAAATAGATTTGACGGTGTGAAAGATTTCAATAAACCATTTTTTAGAACATCAAAACAAATTGATTTTCCGAGGCACCAGTCAATCTAATTATAACACTGATGATCTTTAAACAAGACTCAACCTTTGACGGAAGCAAGGAACTCCTTCGAAAGTTCGAAATATATGAACATTTCAATCTAGCAGACCACTATTATAATATTCATGCAGTCATTGTTCACTGTGGTTCTGGCGTTGAATTTGGTCATTATAACGCCTTGGTCAAAAACGAAACGGACTGATATGTTTGACGATAGTCGTGTCACGAAGTGTTCTGGCGATGTATTGAATCTATTGGAGCCTCTTGAGACACCCTACATTTTGTTCTATGAGAGAGAGGACATTGGCAAATCAAGATATTCAGATGAAGTGGTGCTGCAGGTTTTTCCGGGTTTTCCTGCAGCTGAAAAAGCAAATGTGCCACTGGAATCAATGAAGTCGCCCTGGAGCGCCAATTAATTTTTATTGTTGTTTTTATTTTTATCGTTGTTTTATAACTTTTCAGCAAATTAACTGTAATATCAAAAAAAGGAAAAAACACGACTGGACAAATGAGATTCATTGAGGGGTGGCAGATAACAATTTTGGCATTTCTGCTACTTTGGGAAAACCTACATAGTTAAGGACACTCCCACATATTGACGAGGAATATAAATCAGGACTGTGTGGAAAATTATTTTGGAATACTTGTGGAAATGCCAGAAACCCTACTCCTATTCAAATTACACACATTTACTCTTCAGTATTTCACACAGGCAGAAGGAACTAAGTGTCTAGAAGATACTAGTGAGATTATATCTAGTATTACAGATGCAGACATAAATAGAATGAAGAGTCTTGTGGAAGTTCCAAAAAATCTCTATAAACCTTTGAGAGTAAAGATAAATGTGTATACTCTCTAGCCACTCCAGAAGACAACAACTTGGATATCTTTTGAGAAAATGTTCAAGAAAACATTCATGAGAAGTATGTACAAATTTTGCCACGGTGGCTAGTACGATACTGAATGAAACAAATGTAGGTATTTAGTCATTTCAAGGCATATAGTAATACACTAGCCAAACAGTTTGGAAGTTTATATATGCCTCCAGATTCATTTTCACAATGTATCATTCATCTAGAGACAGAATTTCTTAATCATTTCAACAATTTATGTGCCTTTGATTGTGGTAATTTTCCATTGGATTATTTATTTTCTCTTTTCACAAGGGTAAGAATTTATTATACTTTGAAATTGCTAATAGAAATTTGAAAACAGATGTTAAAAGAAATCAAAAACTCATAATTCTGAAAAACCTTTAAATCATATTAGCATAAGTGTTTGACCTAAATTGTATAATCTCACTACATAAAATATAGTTTTATTTCACCACCTTGTTTTTTTTTATGAATTCCTAAACAGTTCACAATCATATGAGACATTTATTGGGAGCTCCTCGTAGCAATGATGAGGTCAGATCATGGTCACATATTTTTTGATCGAACCTCGTGCAGAGGCCACATGCCAGCAAGCCAGCAAAAAATAAAATCTCGACCCGAAACATCAAAGACACCGACGGGAGTGAATTTACTTCTGTTTACTTATGTACGGTGTCTGAGTGAAGGCAGACCACGTGGTGTGATACGATGGGGCTGCTGTTCTGCCTAATTCAACCCTTGCACTACTCCATAGTTCGTTCATTGAAATCTATAGGCATCCCAACAATTTCAGCGGACGAGGAAGAGGGTTATTCAGTACTCGAAAAGGCCAGAAATATAACTTCGATTAGCTTCCCACCAACGGCATACCTGTCAACAACGTGAACCAATAAGAAAAACTTAGTGACAGTGCGGACCAACCAGAATGTTTCAGCAAAAGTGCGGACCAATCAGGAGTGAGCATTTGCAAGGACATACCGCTACTATCCACCCGCCACAATGCTACCATCACTCCCTTCACCCTCTGAGAGTATAAATAGTTTGCACGTAGCTCGTCAGTCAGTTGTTGCTGAGAGATTTGAAGTTTGTTTTCAATAGATTCGTTTTACGCCAGAGGTTCCAGCATGAACTATCAAGTCTGTTCTCGCAATTAATGCTCATACTGAGGTATGATGTTTGCCACAGTATCATACGAAACGTTCGGTTCTTCTGGTTCCATTCCACCACGGCCTACCAGTCCAAATTTTGTTATTTTCAAGTGTCATTTATTTTGTCATGCCGCAGTTGGTGTATGGGGTGGTAGACGTAATATCAATCTCCCACCCTTGACTTATTCAAGGGTGGTATTTGGATACTGATAAAACTCGAGTAAGTTTATTACTTATTTAAAAAACAGTTACTTTTGTTCACATGCAGTACATTTTGGTTGGTGCAAATAACGAAAACAGAAAATTGAATTTTCCGCTCTAGAGGAACCTTTTTCATTTAAGTAGTAATGTGCGGCATTAGTAGTCATGTACTATGTAATATTTTTGCATGTGGAAAACAATAATACGTACTAATGTTTTTTCTACGGACGTGAACTTAACTATGAAACAGAACTGCAGCACCCTTCTCGACTCGCAGCAATTTTTTTTGCAGTAAATTACAGTTCCTTATTGGTTGGAAATGGTCAAATGAAAATTCGAGAAATCTGATGGTAAAGTTCGCATCATTTGGAATAACGTGATTATCTTCGTTATCCATTCTTTCAGTAAAAAAAATTAGAGAAGACTCCGAACATGTAAACAGTTTTTTTTTTAATTATATTGATGAATTCACCGATTTGTCCTGAAATTATATGAGTATGGCGTTGCAGAATTTAACGAACGTGATTAGTTTTTGTAACATCGATATTGATGCCTCACCATGATTCAGAATTCAGTAACAATGGGCAATCATACCATTGGTCATAGGTTTTTAAACAATTGGAAAAAATGCCTTTTAGTCACTGTTTTGATTATTAATGTATAACATAACGATTGTAATGATATTCAAATAAAAAAAAAATTCTTCAAGGAGTGAAAGTACAATAATCAATAATTTTTGAGCAAACTGCTTCAGCTTGATTTTGATGTAGAATGATCGAGATAGGATATATAAAACTGGAAAAGTAGAAACTATTCAATTATACTTTGAATACCAACACCTAAATTTAGTTCGAATTCGAAACCATATACCCCTATTTATAGAAAATCCCATCTAATCCACGATATCAAACCCTTCGATTTCGGGGTGAAAGAATACATTCAAAAACAAACATTATTAAAATTATACGTACAGTTCCAATTTGCACTGCTGCTGATATGAACAAACAACAAACTGCAATAACTTCCTGGCTTGAAGCCACTTATTGTTACGTTGTCAAATCACTATGTGCGCACGCAACCATTTTAGAGGACCAGTGAATTAATTTTGGTGAGTTGAATTCGTTAATTCGAATGAATATCACAGATAAATTTATTTCTCCTTTGCAAATGAGATGATAATTATTCAAAATATCAGTTTGAATGTCAAAGCGCATTAAAACTGGTTGAAACAAAAGTGAAAAGTGACTGGAAGATTTCTGATTGAGCTCCAAGTATAGCCCAGCTGATTCGTTGTTTGAACTATTATTATGAGGTATGATCTTATGGTAAAAAAACAAATACTCTCAAATTGACAGGTTTTCACTTTCTGAAAAGAAATACAACTCAAAAAGATGTACCCGGAACTTTTATAAATTCATTTATTATGAATGATGCCACAAACAAGTGGAATATTGAGTAAAACTGTATGAAATAGCTACTTTATATACTTGTGATGCACTGTTGGAAACCTTTGGTGTAGTAATGAATATTACTAGAGTTTTATCCCAACACCAAACCAGGTCAATCTTCTTTTTGAATATTACTGGAGTTTTTTTCCAACACCAAATCGTTATTTTTGATACCTCGACACGTGTTTCGATCAACAAGTGATCATCTTCAAGAGGAAGAATAAACTGGAAAACCTGTGAAGCTAACCCTATTTATGCTATACAGGTATACCATACAGGTATACCTGTATGTGGTATACCTGTATGTGTGGTATACCTGTATGGTATACCTGTACAGCATAAATAGGGTTAGCTTCGCAAGTTTTCCAGTTTAATCTTCCTCTTGAAGATGATCACTTGGTGATTGAAACACGTGTCGAGGTGTTGAAAATAACGATTTGGTGTTGGGAAATAATTCCAGTAATATTCATTAATACACCAAAGGTTCCAAACAGTGCATAAGTTCCTCTTGAAGAGGATCACTTGGTGATCGAAACACATGTCGAGGTGTTTTGGTGTTGGGATAAAACCCCAGTAATATTCAGCTACTTTATAGTTTTAATTGTCCACTTTCATTTTCAAGGGATCTCTTTGAAATTGGGGTAAATATTCGTTTTGAGGGCACCCGGCGATGTTGAAAAAAATGTTCAGTGTACTTACGTATTTTGATGCATAGATTACGAATCCGAAAGAAAAAGTGGCGCTCTCCCTCATTTACAAAGTTACGGCCCTTCAAAGTTCAGAAAAGGGCAACTTTTCAGCCTTCTTTTTCACAAGATACACTATTAAAAAACAAGCATTCATTCACTAGGTCACCTTTACATCTTATTCCTCCTTCCTTGACACTTTTCACCTTAACAATCAACATGTTTCCAATATAAATATTAAAAAATATACGGAGCTGCTTTTTGGTTATATATCTGTGTATTTTAAGTTTTTAAGGTTATTAGCATAGTTGGTACGGCTGATGCTGTCAATATTCCTAAAGTAATTCAAATGTTTTTTCCTTCATTCTTTAGATCGTAAATTGGTTTTTGGTAGTGTATTAAGATAATCTACGAATTTGAAATAGTAGGCGGCGGCAAATACCAACCGCTTTTTTCTGAAATATCACTAGTAACTAACCTAGAAATAGAAGAATGTCACCAGAAGAAGCACTCGTTTTTATATTGTTTTTTATAAGAAAAATGTTGATTGTTGAATTTTAAAGTGTCAATTAAGGAGGAATAAGGTGTAAAGGTGACCTAGTGAATAAATGCTTGTGTTTTTAAATAGTTTATTTTGCCAAACAGAAGGCTGAAAATTTGCCATTTTCTGAACTTTGAAGGGCCGAAACTTTGTAAATAAGGGAGTGAGCCGCTTTCTTCTTTTGGATTCGTATTGTACGCATCAAAATACGTACACTAAAAATGTTTTCAAAATCTCCAGGTGCCCTCAAAACGAATATTTACCAAAATTTGTTGTGAAGAATCATCTAAGCCAGTAATTCCTAAGATGATATTGCCACACACATAACAATATAACTTCACTTGGTCATCATTTGAAACAACTTTGTCAAAAATTTCCAACGTAAATCCACTCCAGATAAGGGGAGAAATCAATTTCACAATAGCAAGGGGGCATACTTGAAGACTGGCTGTAAATCAAATTATCCAATGAGCAATTCATTCAGATCAGTGTCAACTCACCTATACTGGGGGTTAATAGACACCCATCAGAAAACAACTACTCCCTTGGCCAATACCACGAAGGGCTTTGAACTATATGCAAGATACTCCACAGAAATTATTCCAGCTTATGTTGATGGCGATGCAACTGCCGGAATCGATTTTCAGTTATTGGAACGGGCACACTTGCAGACCGGTTTCGGGCTATTTGGCCACCCGTTAGCGCAAGGTAGTGTCCATCATCAATATTAAGTCGATAATTTTCCATCATAAAAATCGAATTCCTTTCGGAGTATCGTTCCTCGAACTAGGCTGAAGCGAACGACAAACAACATATTTGTCATCGCCTCATCTGCCCGTGAAAGAGGTAACCAACCGCATCCATATTTTTTTCCCTATACGAGCAATTGGGGGATTTAGATAAGCAGTTGATTATCTCGTTCACGGGCAGATGGGGGGATGACAAATATGTTGTTTGTCGTTGGCTTCAGCCTTGTTCGAGTAGTGATACTCTGAAAGGAATTCGATTTTCAATTATGTAAAATCATCGACTTGAGTTTAATCTTCCTCTAGAAGATGATCACTTGGTGATCGAAACACGTGTCGAGGTGTTCAAAATGATGGTTTGGTGTTGGGATAAAACTCCATTATTATTCATCGACTTCATGTTGATGATGGACACTACCTTGCACTGATGAGAGGTCAAATATCCTGAAACCGGTCTGCAAGTGTGTCCGTTCCAATAATTGAAAACCGATTCCAGCAGTTGTATCGCTAACAGCATATGCAGGAAATGCTTATGTAAAGAATCCTGCACTGACACCTGTCGGATATAGTCCAACGCCCTTCGTGGTATTAGCCAGGGGGGTAGTTGTTTTATGATAGGTGTCAGTACATTAACCTACACTGTAGATGAGTTGAGACTGGCCTAAACGAATTGTTAATATAGATAATTTGAGGAGAAATCAAGATAATCTCTCTACTAGACTTGTAGAAGAATCGTATGGTGTTAAGTTTAGCAAAATTATAGATGCAGCTTCTATTGTCACAGCGAAACAGGGAAAAGAAGAATTATTCAAAAGTAACCTATGATGATTTGATTTATATCCTGTCTTCAAGTATGCCCACTGACTATATGTGAGAAGTTTTCTTTCCTTATGCGAGAAATTGGGCAAATTTCGGATATGAAGTTGGTTACCTCGTTCACAGGCAGATGGGGCGATGACACACCTATTGTTGTCTGCTTCAGCTTAGTTCGAGGAATGATACTCTGAAGGAATTCGATTTTCAATTACTTATCGGAAATCATCGTCTTTATGTTGATGATATACACTAGCTCTGACGTGTGGCCAAACAGCCCGAAACCGGTCTGCAAGTGTGTTCCAATAATTGAAAATCTATTGCGGCAGTTGTATCGCCAACAGCATATGCATGAATAACTAGTTATTCCTGCATATACCTCACGGTAGGGAGTTGAGACTGGCGTGTACGAATTTTTCTTTTAGATGATTTGGTTTTGAATTTCAGTCTTATACTTTTTTTCGTAGACGGTGACTGTAATCATATGGTTGTGTGTATATAATACTAATAATGATCTGTGTGATGAGTAAAGAATATTACTGGAGTTTTATCCCAACACTAAACCGTTATTTTCAACACCTCGACACGTGTTTCCATCACCAAATTATCATCTTCAGGAGGAAGATTATACATTCAACCTTCCTGTAATGAATGCAAAAAAGTGCGGTTTTCATATAAATAATATCACAACTTTGAATTTACCTTTAAAATATGAATGGTTTTGATAAAAAATACGTTTACTTCTTTATAATAATTAGTTATAATTATCATAGATCAGGCCAACCTTATTTGGAAAACAACAATACACTTCTCACAATTCACTTTCAAACAACTTTTTCATTTTGAATATGTCACAGTCGGAACAATAACCACATTTATTAGGAACTGAATTTTCTAGTTCTAGTTGTACATAAATATAATTTTTAACTAGTTTGCCTACACTTTCTGTTAAAAAAATCCCACCTGTCAAAATGTGATTGGAATCTGTCCAAGAATTATTTTTATGCTACGAGTTTTTGAATACATGATTCATCAATTGTTTTATGGCACATCAACACTGATTCGTCTTCTCATCAAAACTATTTAATGGTTACGCAATGTACTGAGTATTACTTATGGAAAAAACAGTCTAAAAATAACATTTTTTAAGACGATGCTGGAATGATGTAAATACATTCACAAACATCAACATCTGTTCAATTTTCTTAAAGACAATTTGATATTTATATAGAAGTGTCACGATACGGCTCACAGATATGACTAGATAAATATGAAAATATAATATCAATAGATTATTTCCAAAAGTATGTTATTTTGAACTTCAAAATGTCATAGTGCAATTGATGAAAAAGGAAATTCAATTCTAGCATAGTACAGTAAATGTATAAATATTGAATATACTCATTTTCACTTTTTTATTCCAAAAATGAAATCGGAACGAAATTTGAAGAATATCAGCGAAACAAAATTATCTGAATGAATTGGATGCTTTGAGAAGCAACCTCAGAGAAACTGTTCAATAAAAGGGGTGTGACGTCACCAGATATACGAAATGCAGAGTCGACGAAGAATCGCCTTTGGTTTCAGATGTTTAGATGTTTATGTGCAAGCGACGTGAAAGTTCCATTATTTTTTGTGTTTTTGTACTTACCTGCCTGTTCTGTGGACGTATGGGAGATAAAACCATCCCAAAAAAGTTTTATACAAATATTTGGATATACATCTTGAACACGAAATGTCCCGAAGTTCGATGGCAAAGCCGTCCTTTCATTGGTCTCTACAATCTTGGGAAAAGGAAAAAGTCGCAGGGGTCCAAATCTGGTGAATACAATGGCTGAGGCATGTTTACGGTGTTATTGTTGGTGCATTATCATGATTTATTTGTTACGACCGTTTTCGGTATGTTAAACTGGTAACAAATGAAAATCTAGATAGAAATCCGACAAAAGTTATTTTCTTCATCCTATATGAAATATCGTATAATGAAATACGATGTGGCTACTGGTCGAATTCGGTCTCCAAGAAATAGTAGAAGGAATTTTTTTGGGACTGATAGCTTTTTTATTTCAGAATATTTTTTCTGAGGAAAAATATGATTCGTTGGCGTGTTAGGTCAAAAGTGAGTGGGTCTATTCGACCCTCCACCGCAACTTGTAAGGGTTTATTGTGGCTTGTTGACATGTTACACCGAAATTGATATTGTACAAGGAAATTATTTTTCAATACTACCACTCGATTATAACATATTATTAGCTCACATATCGTTCAGTTTATCAGCACAACCTGAACTAGATATTTCAAAGATCGACAAATTGAGTAAACAAAAGATATTCTCGTGCTATGAGTTGATTTCAGATTTGAAACACCTATAAGTGCGACCGATGTTTACGTCCCTATTATAATTATTATGTAAATAATACCTAATAATTATAATCAAATTTAAAATCAAAACGTTAATTGAGGTATCTAAAAAGGTTTGCATGGTGACACCATCAAATTATCTCAGAACAACAATTGTTTTCTTGCCGACGTTTTGAATTTCATTAAATTCTTCTTCAGTGCTGTGTAACTATGAATTTTATGGAAACTACTTACCACAAACTTCATAACTGTCATTTTTTAAAGTTGTGAGAAGTAATCATAAGATGACTCACCGAAAAAGGAGTTTTTCCATGTAAGAACTATAAATAAATTTCAAACTCATCGGGCGTGTAAGATACATATAAGAAATAAAAAACACTGGAGCAAAAAAATTATTTGAGATCAACACAGAATGACATGAGACAAACGAATGACTTTACTATAATTTTGATAAGGTGGTACCTGTTATTCTCGATTAGACGTATTTTAAATTTTCATTTCTAAATTAACAATAAATTTTTTGATTTGTAACTTTATTTGTCCATTAACATAAAGTTCCTAATTTAGTTTCCTCTCTTGATTTATGTTTGACAATAACTTTCTAAAAGTCCGTATTATGATTGTTATTTATATAACTTTTTGTTTCAGGTGAGTCCGTTATACATTTTTCCCGCTGTACAACTGATAAACATTGGTAAGTTCTTTTATAACAGATAACTAATGTAGCTATATAGGAATAATTTTCTTCGAGAAATCGTATACGTCCATGAAACAGGTGCGCCATAAAAATGAAAGCATTTCTGATTCACCTTCAAAGTGATCATGCAGTCGAATAAACATATATAAGCTATGACAAACATATTTATGCTGTAACTTATGATGCACTGTTTGGAACCTTTGGTGTAGAACTTAATCTTCCTCTTTGAAGATGATCACTTGGTGATTGAATCACGTGTCGAGGTGTTAAAAATAACGATTTGGTGTTGGGAAAAAACTTCAGTAATATTCTATTTATGCTGCATTGTCTTATGAAAGTAAGGTTTCGCCAGCATTTAATGTATTTCCCACAACTGTACTATTTGCAAGGCTTCGTTAACTTTTTCATTTTCGGTAACAGTTACAGACAATTTGGTGCATTTGGGGTTGATGAGTATGTACAGTAAAATCTTTTTTTTGAAACTTTTTTATCCTCCATACTTTCACAACTTTGGCAGATGAATGCAATCAACCAAAAAGTAATGGACTTTCACACCGCTTACTCAAAATCCTCTGAAACTAAAGCCGACTCCTAGCCGGTTCTACTTTTCGTATATCTGGTGACGTCACGCCTCCTTTTGCCCAACCGTTTTTTTATAATAGTACCAAATGAACCTTTTCCATCAAAACCATCTCATGGTTACAAAAGTCATTACAGACAAATACTATTTACGAATTTGTGTTTTCGAATTTATGACTGAAGTTTATCTTTCCCTCGTAACGGTTCTTAACCAGTTTTTTTTAAAGTACTGCACTACAGGAAACTTTTGAAAAATATCAGCGCCTCATAATATGGATATCGCCTAGAGAATCCAACCTGGGATCAACTAATTTTACTTTTGCTGTATGGGACCACGTGGGAAATGAAATAGTTTCAGTAGACAATTATAGTTTCTCTGGGTAAACTTAATATAGGTATAGAATTCATTAATTGAGTAAATATATTCTATAGAAGCACATATATAAAGTAGAACTTTTCTGTAACGTGTTAGTGATCGAAATGGTTTTTCGACTGACCTATTGTTTAGGCAAGGAATCAGAAAAATCATGGAAAACAATTAACTTGTTTCGAACTTTATTAGGTTCATCCTCAAGGTTCTACAAAAATTATCTCTTATACCATAACATATTATATCTGTAGGAGAAAAAACCGAACAGGTTATTTCTAAGTTGAAGACATTAAAATATGCGCCTCATCAAAAACAGACATATATTAGATAAAAGTTCATGATGAACATCAACAATAATGAAAAAAAACAAGCACTGAACGAAATAATCTGATTAAACGGTGAAGATATATGAGTCTCTGTTATTCAGTTTCATCGAAATATTTACCAAAACAATGGGGAATGTTTACACCAAACCGTTATTTTTAACACCTCCACACGTGTTTCAATCACCAAGTGATCATCTTCAAGGAGAAGATTAATATTTCTCTTGAAGATGATCACTTGGTGATTGAAACACGTATCGAGGTGTTGAAAATTTTGGTGTTGGGATAGAACTCCAGTAAAAACAATTGCCGATGAAAAAACCACTTTTCTTCATTGCTCAAATAAATGAAAATTGACAGTATTCAATCCTTGGATATCGTTTATGGTATTAAAACTGTTTAGTTTCAAAATATATATCATTTTACTTCTCGCTTTCACAAAATAGTTCAAACATCCAGCTGACATATTTTTGATCCGTGAATATTCCCATGCATTCTTGAGCTTTTCGTGTATTTACAAACGTGTGCGTATTGTGTAATTATAGATGCGCTACTAACCTTAGTTTTCAAAAATGTCTCCTAAAATTTAATGAACTTTGAGAAATGGAAGGATAAAAGCATGGAAAAGGTGATCGCCGAATTCAGAATTGACCAATGGAATTTACATTTTTTTTAAGAACAAGGAATGGCAATATGTTTCTCACGACCTATGGTGTTGAAAGAAATTAGGATTGTACAAGTTTACAAATAGGGCCGATTGAAGTCTCGGTCGTTTATTGATGACTTACTGTTGATTACAATATTGAAATTTTTAATAATTCAAACTCTGACCAATTCGATAATTTTTGTTTTAGGGGCCAAAGGATAATATGGTTTGTCTTCCAATTATATGTGTATAAATGTCTGTTATCAATTTTCTGCAACGTTATTGTGGAGGATTATTTTCCTATCATTGAATAATTACTTCAGACATAATGAACCAATATTTGTTGAATCACTATTAGTATACAATTATTTAATAAATCCATTTGGAAGCCTTTATTCGCTGTTCCGTTGTAACTTAGATTTATTAAGCATTTGCGCAGACTATTTCTTGCCTACCAGTACCTCCCAAACTGAATAAATATTTCACATTCGAAGAGTACATTTTAAAGATAAAGACTAATGCATCAGTTGAATGTCTGGAAAGCTACTGATCTTGTAATCAGTAGCTTTCAATCAGTAGCTTTGTAATCAGATGTATTTTTCACGAGAATAATCAGAGTGTATTTATTCAAAACCACATAAAAATGAGCAACGTGAAATTTGCCTAGATTGGGTCGATTTGCTCTCATGAATATTGATACACATTCAAGTATCAGAGCTGTCAAGAATTGCAGCCATTGTAGTCAACATTCGCATACGATTTCGGATATTCACAGGTCAAAAATGAGTCCCCAGAATTAGAACAGATCAGATGGTAATTTTTCAGCGAGAGCTGAAAACTAACTTTTTTAATTCATCATTTTCTTCATCATCAATATTTTAATTCATGTAATGACGCATGGTAGTTTTCAACTCCAGAAGATGCGATTTTTCTTTCTGAAAGTAATTCATGAAATGATGCGTGGTAGTTTTCAACTCCAGAGGACGTGATTTTTCTTTCTGAAAGTTGTGCTTACTCAGTGAGTTATGGCTTTATATATCTGATAAACGCATCCTAAGATGACGCTCCTTTAAGACCTATTGTGAGTTTCATAGAATCGCAAATTAATGAATTGTCTGAATGGAATGGAAAGTTAGATACCGAAGCACCTTTTCTGAAGATTTGTGTTTCTTACACACGTGTTGAAGATAGTCGCAGACTGTTCACCGATCAAGACCTCATCAAATTGAGGAAAATGTACCATGGTCCGTAAGCCTTTGAGTGATTATTCTTCACAAGGAAATTTTAGGCCTGATAGCAGAGCACATACTCTGTGTCTGCCCTGTCGCAACCTGATCAAACTTTCAGCGTTTGGCATAGTTCCATTCTTGCCAGTTCATCTGAAAGAGGGCAGAAACTTTGTAAATAAGGGAGTGAGCCNCCTCGCTTGGGCTCCCGAAATCCCCGCTTATAGTTGGTTTACTTGAATAAAGTAAAGTGACAGATTCTGTAACCGATATACTCAGACATTAGATGATATCTTTCATTTAATTTTAATGAATATCAGTCATACTTCATTTATAGTAGAAAATTATAATGGCAATGAAACTGTTGGATGTCACAGATTAGTTGCACGGCAACCTCGAATAAGAGAAGTTAACTGGAACCTGTACCATTTGCAGATACGTTACAATTCAACATTGGAAGACATTCAGCAGAGAATAAAATTCAACATGAAAAAATTGCGATTCCATATCACTCAACACATTTCTCTTCTATTTCACCTACGTCGTGCTTTGCAGTTTTTGTTTCTTAATAAATGAATAATCGAAATTATAAAAATGTTATGCTTTAAAAATTTAACCAGTTCCTCCTTTCGCATTCTTCAAGTATCCAACATATTTTTTCTGTCGTCTCGGGCATGATTGTAACTTCTTCCATCTTTGGTGGTTTAGAAGGATCATCTGCGGCGGCTGGACCGCCTTTTTTACCGTGAACTATGAAAGTCAACATGAAAATACTATGCGCCAGTTCTCTCTCGACACTTGCAGCTATTTCGTCCAGAAATAGGTCATAGGAAAATGGCGCTGTATCAATATTGAGCGATTCTAATATTTCTACGAATACTTTATGATAATATATGATAAGTTCGTCGAAGTGAGCTTTGAGGGTACTAGTTTCGACACTCGTGCAAAGAAAGAAGAACAAATCTGTAGCAGGACTGTCGTAACTATACATTTGGAAATCGACTATTTTGCTATCGACGGCTTTTTTGCCATCGAATCGAATCATGATGTTGTTCACCCACAAATCTCTATGCGTTATTGTGGCGAAAGGTTCCCGAAATGTTGTGGCGAGCTTGCCGAAATATTTCATGGACGCTAGCAGCTTCGGTAAAAGATGTCTGACATTTTCTGAATTTTCCAGGTGGGATATCAAATGTGCGCCACCTTCATCGGATGGCGGAACAGGTGGTAGAGGATGGAAACAAGCCAGATACGCCTTGACGTTCTTCTCGAATGTTTCTGGATCGTTCAACTTCAGAGCTAGAGGAACTGCGTGGAACTGGGCTATGTCTCGGAGAAGCATTTTCGTAGTGTTGAGGTCGAAACCCCTGAAACGATCGACGTTGATATAACCTAAAACAATGACAGTATAAAGTTTTTGAACTGTTTGTGTAGAACGAAATATCTTTATTGCTTTTCTTTCCTTTCTCAACAAAAAGTACCTGAGATTCTACAGAAACATTGGTTAATATTATGTTGATTGGCAAGTTTTCAATGAAGTTGGATTTTACGAGTAAAAAATTATTTAACTTCAGGTTTTTCAATTTTTTAACAAGGTTCAACAAAATAAACATAGCAATAATCTAGGTGTCTGTTGTTAAGTAGTTACAGTTTGATTTCTTCATCCACCTTGAATTTAACAGTGTCCCTCCCATACCATTGTATAAGTTCCAGTAAAATTTGGAATGCGTTTCCCTCGTCATTGTATTACAATTTTATTACACGCTTTATAATAGCTTCACCTGAATGTATGTATGCTTTTATGTATGTTTGTTTGTTTGTAACTCTCAAGCTCGGGTGGTGTATTGACAGAATTATCGACCTTATTGCTTGATCTATTCGCGGGCAGATGGCGCTGTACGTAACATCCTTGATAGGTTGTTCAAAAGAAAATCAAAATAA